ATGAACCAGAAGTAGACGCCATCTTTATCGATTTAACTCTTCCCGGATCGACTCAAGAGGCGATTAAACCTTCAAATGAGTGAGGCTTTGATACCAATTTTTGAGTTAATCGATTGACGAAATCGGCCAAGAGGGGTGTGAATTGGCAATTAAAAATTTGGTAGAAGCTTTTGCAGAAAATTGAAAGTAATTGCACAGCGATTTAGAGTGATTCGACTTTCTCAACCAAAGTCTACGTCCACTACCTTAGCTATCCACACTAAGGATTTTCCATAAATTCACTAATTTGTCTTTCTTTTGAGGACAAAGAGTAACCTTACAAACCCTCAAGAATTAACCCTAAATTCTTGAGAACACTCTCTTCCAAAGAGAACAATACAAATTTGCAAACTTACAAGGAAATCCTCACAAGATAGATTGTTTGCACAATTCTAGAACAAAGAAAAGAACACGCAAGAATGAATACAATTGAGTACAAGTAGTGTTCTTGAAAGCAAAATGAATATTGAATGAAAAATAAGCTTGAAATGCTCAAACTTGAGGTTTGATGCTTTCTCTTTAATTCTCTCTTGATTCTAGTTGCTTGTTGTTTCTTGTTATTGATCAATGGCTTCTAAGCTTGTTTAAATACACCTTGAATCACTTTTGAACGTTGAGGATCATTAATGAAGTTATTGGAGCCGTTTAAGTGTGAAAATAATTAATATTTCTGCTTGGAGCGTGGGGGGAATCGGTTCCCTAAGTGTAAAATTCAAATATTTCGACCGTTGATCAGGGGGGAATCGATACCCCCTTGGGTGGGAATCGGTTCCCTCCGAGCATACTGGAATTTCTCGGAGCCAAACCATTCAGGGGGGAATCGGTACCCCTTGGGGGGGAATCGGTTCCCTCTGGACATACTGGAATTTTTGGCTTTGAAATGGTTCGAAATACTTTGTAAAATTATTTTGAAATTATTTTAAGATTAAAACTTAATTTTACACTTGAGTAAGGATTAAAAATGACTTTTGAAAGATTTGGAGTAATATTTTGATATTCGAATAATTATATCGAATATACTTAGAAAATCTTTAGGAAAATCTTAAAATTCATTTATCTTAATTTGTTATATCGAAATATCAAAATGTATTCAACAGTAAGTCCTTATGGATGCGGTTCTGATGAACTATATGTTGGTGTACGGGAAGAGGGTAATTATGATTTTTAAAATTTAACTTCACTACGACTTTTATGATACTTTACTGAACTACTTCCTGATTATTTTACCCATTACGTTTTACTTGCACTATTGGAACACACTGAGCTCCTTAGCTCACTTCCCAAACTTTTACCCTTTTAGATACTTTTGGATAGGCACCTCGGAACTGGCACTTGGAAGATCGACACATTTCGTACAATACATTTTGTTGTAATGTTTTTATCTTCCGAACTGCCTTCATTTTCGGTGACATGTGCCTATATTTTGAAATACTTGTTTTACGACTTATACTGCTTTTGTTATTGATGTTAGATTTAATGCGATACTGATTATGACATATTTTATTTTACTCAGTCACTTATGGTTTTATATGTACTTGTTTGGATTTTATCGTTATTAACTATGTTTTTAAAGATGTTATTTATAATATATAGATTTAAATTATCGAAGAACATTTTGGAAAACTTTATTGTAATTCGCTAGATCTAGTCATAAGGCATAGGCCGAGTCTAGGGGGTTACATATGCCCCTTCAAGTTAGCGCCTAAATCAAGGCACATGCAAGACACACAGCTAGGATGTCACAAGGCATGCACATAAAGGCTCCATTGGATCTAAGGTGTAGTCTCGACCATGTGATGATGCGTTAAAGTCCTTGGGCAGCCTAGAGGTGAGCTAGCTTCAAGGTAAGCTAGGTGAGTGTCTTGTTAGTTAAATAGGTGAACTATAGCTTGATGAACTCAAGCTAGCTAGCCATGGTCTTCTAAGCTCCTCATCTACTCTTTTAGCTACATCCAACTACCTTTAGTCCACTTTTGACAGCTTTAGTTCATATGGCTCCATCAGCTGAGTTTAGTTCCATGATAGCCCCTTCAGCTAAAGTGAGCTCACATTTGATCTCCACGAGTTGCCTTAGACATTGTGAGCTATTTGTGAGCTGCCATGCTTTGCCAAATGCTTCCCAAAACTACCATAAGATGTGTCCTCCTTTGATGTACCTATGTGAATCAAGAAATCAAATAAATATAAGTCAAATGAGCTTGTAGAAAGCCAAATGCTTGTTGTCGCCTATGTATACTCACTTATAAGCTATGAATGAATGTCATGAGCTAAGGAAATAATATGCAAAGCTAATGAGCTAAGGAAATAATATGCAAAGCTAATGAGCTAAGTTAAATGCATTATGAGCTAAAATAACATGCCATGAGCTAAAGATTCAATGTAAACATGCTGCTATGATATGTATTTGATATGCAAAACATGACAAATGAATATAAAACATATCCAAAACATATTATAATGATGAGTAAAGATGTGTGCTAACAATATGTCAATATTCAACAACATAATGAATAAGTTATATATATTTCATATGAAATGATATGAATAATCAATGGATAATTATAATTAAACATAACATGGGTATATATGATATATATAACAAAGTAAATATGTGAATGAATAATATCATTAAAATAAAGGAATGAAAAAGTAAGAAAGACTCCATGTGCTTCCAACATTGAAATGCATGGAAGTGTGAAGAAGATGAATTGGTGCCTGATCATGCGTGCATCACTAATTATATAAACTTTAAGAAATAATTTTATCATTATACCAATATTTTATCCAACGACCAATAGTGTTCCAAGGAACAGTACAAGTAAAAAGTGGGAAAATGGATTTCAACCCCCCACATGCTCCCAATCACACTCTTTTTCATAATTTCACCTAAACTGATCTCAGTTTAGATCTGCGTTCACTTTCATATAAAATAATGAAAGACTTAATTGCAATAAACGTCCATATATTACGACTTTTATTCTAAGCTGATATTTAAGTTTCTAAATATTTCAATTTCATCCTAAATTATTACACTCAATATAAATTGTTGCCAAAAAAATTATCCTCCCAATTTTATCTCTAAACTACCATTATATGCTAATCACACCTCAAGTTAATAAAACCATTGTAAAAATTGTTAAGTGTCATGTAAATACTCATATATATATATATATATATATTATTTAATAATATGAAGTGATATAAATGATAATTAATCCTAAGTTTAAATAAAATAATGATTTGATTTTGAAACATATAAATAATTATAAAAAAATTAAGAGAATAAAAATAAAACCCAAAGGATCTTTTAATTTCATTATAAATGACGATTTCGAATGATATGATATAATATTAATCATCATTTATGACACACCATATTTACATAATACATATCAGTGTTTACATGGCAATTAACAAATTTTTAACGGCTTACATACTAACAGCTTAAGGATAAAATCATAATGTTCAAAAGTTTATGGATCAATTTAGAATGGGGGTTTTAGTTTGGAAATAAAATTGAAATGTTTAAAAGTTTGGAGATTAATTTAATATAAGTCATAACTTGGGGATGAAATTAAAGCATTTAAAAATTTGAAAACAAATTTAAAATAAAGATAATAGTTTGGAGACGTATCGTGCAAATAACTCATAATAAAATTATCACATCATAATTATTTAAAAAATTACTTGTGATAATTAAAATATAACAATTTGGAAATACAAGTAATAAAATATTTTATAATATTTAAAATTTTATAATGAAAACATTTTTTCTATTTTCTTATGCTCCTATTCAACTAAAATAATTTATTATTATTTTTTTGTAAAAAAATTCAACTTGTAATTAAAATTTTATAGTTTGGGGTAAGTATAAGGTTTAATAATTTAAAATCTCATTTTTTTATTTCTATATTTATTATTTTCTTTTCATTCATCATTCAAATTCAATTTATTTTATTTAAGTTACAAATTACAGAAGTTTGACGAACCTCTCCCTTCTAATTTGTTTTTTTTTTCCTTTTTCATTTTGGCAACTTATACTTCTATATTATCATTTAATATTGAATTTGAATGTGTCTCAAAATCTGAAAAAAATCATGGAAGGAGTCATTTTTGGATCCAGAATGGATAAATTTAAGAAATAAGATAATTAAGGATACTCATTAGAAAAACTAATGCAATCCATAAAGATATACCAAAGTATATGTTTAAAAACAACTCTCAATCATTTGACATTGAACGCTCACGCTCTTAGTATTCATGGTGCTTGAACCCGTGACTATAAGAAATAACAACATTTTTTTTACCACTAATGCCACTTGATTCATGCAACAAAATAGAGTGTATATAATAAATAAAAAGTTATCATATTCAATAAGTTTTTGAAATATAATATAAGTCATGGATAATTATAAATTAGGTTAAATGTATTCTTATTTTTAAATAAGTTTAGAAAGATAATTGACATTTCTGAAAATTATTCGTAGAATTATTCTTTTATACTTATGTATATTATTATATACATTTTTAGTTTTTATAATTACAATGTATTTGATAATTAATAATCAAGATTATAATACACACTGCTTATTATGAGATAATCTTTTTCAATCATGTTTCTTTCATAACACTCAGAATTATATTAATTTTTTTTTGTATGTTATAATAATGACGCTACCGATTAAATTAAAATTCAACCTGAGTTAGTAATTAGGTGCTAAAGCTTTTTTTAAGATCTTTGATCTGATCCTCATCAAAATCACATCTATATTTTATAATTTTTTTTATTAATAAGATGATGGCATATGTTATTAATATGTATTAATTTACTCAGAGATTAAGTGACTAAAATACAAACACTTTAAAAAGTTAGGGATTAACAACACTATTTACCCTAGTTAGAGACCGTGAAGAAAAAGGACAGGAACACAAATGACCGGATTCTTAGGTGCGATTGCTGTAATTCACAAACTCACCGAGTCACTTCTTCCGCTCCCACTTCCCACTCTGCAACAAAACTAAAACCAAGAGAAGATCTTCAATGAACCATTGAAATTCAATCTCATCGAAGATCCAAACAAACCATGGGTCACTCAAATCTACCTCCATCCAAACGAAACCCACGCCAATGGAAGCTTCTAGACTTCATCTCCGCCCTGTTCTTCGCCCTGGTACTCTTATTCTTCTTGTTAGTCTTCACCCGTCTCGGTGATTCCATGGCCGCCTCCGGAAGGCAATCTCTGTTGGTTTCCACTTCGGATCCCAAGCAGCGGCACCGTTTGGTGGCGTTGTTGGAGCTAGGCCGCCACCATCAGCCCATCGAAGCTTGTCCTGCGGATTCCGTCGATCATATGCCGTGCGAGGATCCCAGGCGGAATAGTCAGCTGAGTAGGGAGATGAATTTTTATAGGGAAAGACAGTGCCCTTTGCCTGATGAAATGCCTCTTTGCTTGATCCCTCCTCCTCTTGGGTATAAGATTCCTGTTCAGTGGCCTGAAAGCTTGCACAAGGTATGGTTTTGTTGGGTTTTCATTAGAAATTATTGAACATCAAAATTTGCTATGAAATTTACTTAGGGATGAACTCTTGAACATTACTTCAATGGATCAGTTACTCTGCTAGTCTGCTACTCATTTTTAAAATTAATATTGTGAAAATCTGTGTTTATAAATATATTCATAAACATTGTTATAGTATGGATGCATATATGATCTTTTAGTATATGTGTAATATAAATTTTATAATATATTCCTAAATTTATGATCTTAGATATATGTTAAAGTTAAAGCTATATAAAAAAAATACATCAAACATTATATGGGTAAAATAGTAATTTTAAGAGTTGGCCGGGCAGAGTAGAGCAACATTTACCAAAATTGTATTGCTCCACCGCCGGCATTCACTTCTGTTGAAAGAACTTGCCTATTCAGAGTGAATCCCTGATGAAAACCATGAAGCGGTTCGGATATTGCCGTCCCTAAAATTGCTCCCTTGTTGCTACCATAATATATGTTTTCTTATAAGGAATTTGATCCTTTGTTGTTTCATTTCAAGTAGTATAGTTTATTGTTCTTTTAGAGATGGAAGTAAATTATTAGTGTTACTTAAAACAGTTCTAATTGTTTACTGTTTAGATATGGCATTCCAATATGCCACACAACAAAATTGCTGATAGGAAAGGTCACCAAGGATGGATGAAAGAGCAAGGTCCTTACTTTATTTTCCCCGGCGGTGGAACAATGTTCCCCGATGGAGCTGCACCGTATATAGAGAAACTTGGACAATACATTCCTATAACTGGTGGAACAATTAGGACGGCTCTCGATATGGGCTGTGGGGTAAGTTGATACTATGTTGATACTTAAGTTTGATTGTATGAATATCATACTCATTATTCCTTTTGCAGGTTGCAAGTTTTGGGGGTTCGTTGTTATCTGAAGGCATTTTGACACTCTCCTTTGCTCCAAGAGATTCGCACAAAGCACAAATTCAATTTGCTTTGGAAAGAGGGGTACCGGCCTTTGTTCTAATGCTTGGAACCCGCAGGCTCCCGTTTCCTGCTTTTGCATTTGACTTCATTCACTGCTCTCGCTGCTTGATCCCTTTTACAGCTTATAGTAGGTTTTTTCCCTTCTTTTTGGAGTGTGTGGAGTGCTTTTCTTATATTCTTATTTTATATTCTGCCTCTTCTCTTTGGTCGTAATGTGAAGGAATACGGATTTTGCAGATGCAACGTATTTCTTTGAAGTGGATCGGTTGCTTCGTACGGGTGGATATTTGGTCATCTCCGGACCCCCTGTGCAGTGGCCTAAGCAAGACAAGGAGTGGGCAGACCTCCAGGCTGTGGCAAGAGCATTGTGTTATGAGCTTATCGCTGTGGATGGAAATACAGTCATTTGGAAAAAGCCTGATTCGTGCTTACCAAACCAAAATGAATTTGGTATTGAGCTATGTGATGAATCCAATGATCCAAGTTATGCATGGTAATTGTCATGGGGATCCTTAGTTTCAAAGAATTCAGAATTCTAATAGGATTTTCCTTTTATCCTCAGAAAATTCCATCAAGAATTTGACGAATTTTTCTACCTAATTTAACTGCACGTTGGATAGTTTCCGGATTCTGTTTCCAACTTTTACTATTCTGTTTAGTCATTGTTTCTAGAGAAGAAACATGGTGTTGCCCTAAATTTCTCCTATTTTTTGTTTGTAGGTTCTTTAAATTAAAAAAGTGTGTGACTAAAGCATCTTCTGTGAATGGAGAATATGCTATCGGGACAATTCCCAAGTGGCCTGACAGGCTAATAACGCCTCCTTCAAGGGCCATGATCTTGAAAAATGGGATTGATTTGTTTGAGGCAGACACAAGGCGGTGGGCAAGGAGAGTTGCCTATTATAAGAATACTTTGAATGTGAAGCTTGGGACTCCCGCATTACGTAATGTCATGGACATGAATGCTTTCTTTGGAGGGTTTGCAGCAGCACTCAAATCTGATCCTGTATGGGTGATGAATGTTGTACCTGCTAGGAAGCCATTAACTCTTGATGTTATATATGATAGAGGCCTTATTGGAGTATACCATGATTGGTGAGTTACCATAACATTCTAGCCTTACTTTACTGAAACAATTGTGACTTGTAACGGCATGTGGACACGTAATTGAAAGTGAATACATGTAAGGGTGAAATGCTATCTGTTTCGGTGATTGGTCCACTCAGGAAGTTTATCGTTACTAAAAATTTGATGCCCGTTTTATAAACAACAGTATAATACAGTACCTAGTCTTTTAATTTGTTTGATAAACTTCCACATGGAAATACTCTGTTTGTTCCCTTCTGCTAAAAGCAAACCTCCTATGTCTTATTCCCTGTTGATAGAATTTCCCATGGAAAACTATACTAGCATAGGATTTAGGTAATGTCGTTAGATGAGTGAATTTAGTAGTGTTTTAACTTTCAAACGAGATCCCTGGTTAATCCTTATGCGCGAATCTTTGTTATGGTTGTTTGACTTCTGGATTCGTCAATTCTGTTCTTATGATGGTTTGATGCACAGTGGTCTTATACGTAAACGCTTTCTGGTTAACTGATCTTGATTGCTGCTTGCAGGTGTGAGCCTTTCTCGACATACCCCCGTACGTATGATCTCATCCATGTCTCTGGCATTGAATCACTGATAAAGGTCCCAGGTTCAAGCAAGAGCAGGTAGAAATAACCGTTAAATTCACCCTTCCACTCCATCTTTGGCTTTTCTTGAATTATCTTAGCACCTGTGTGAGCAGCACAAGTTTTCTTTCTCCTATTGTTTGAGTTATGCGAGAAATTCATCAGCATCTTTAAGCTATTTCACATCACCAATACTTTTATGTAATTAAAATAACACTTTCATTTTATTCTCCATTTTTAAGCTTCACCTCCTAAACACAGTGCAATATTCCTGCATGGATCATTCTGTTGGTTTACTCTTCAATTAATCGTCAACTCTAATGTTCTTGCAGGTGTAATCTTGTGGATCTAATGGTGGAGATAGACCGGATGCTGCGTCCAGAAGGAACAGTCGTGATTAGAGATTCTCCTGAAGTAATAGAGAAAGTGGCTCGGGTAGCGCATGTGGTCAGGTGGGCAGCTACCGTAAACAATGAGGAACCCAAATCACATGGAAGAGAGAACATTCTGGTCGCGACCAAAACGTTTTGGCAGCTAACTTCATCATCCTCGTGAGACGACCATTGTTCTTCCTTCTATAGGTATTTTTCTTTTTCGTTTCATTTCTATTACAATTCGAAGTCAAGTTGTCTTCTCCTTGCATCAAAAAGGTGCAATCTTGTTTGTTGTTCCTTATTTGGTATTCATTTTATTATCAAGAAACTGTAGATTTCGAAAGTATAAGAATCTAAAGACTGCAACTTTATTGTAGTACACACATAGATTGCAGTGAGAATTTGGTTGTAATTTGATGCCATAGATTGTTAGTAACTTGGTGCTGCTCTGAAATTACCACTGTGATCCATTTGTGTGTGGTTCAAGTTGCTACCGAGGAAACTTTTAGCTACCAGTAGACGTATCGCAATGTAACATTTTCAGTTGTAACCGAAAATGTAATTTATATACATGTTTATTAAATTTGTCGTGCTCGTATGGTCATATCTTGGTCTGTAATTATCAGATCTAGCTATTAAGGGCCTAACGTTTTTGGTTATCGAGGGTGTAAATTTTTAGGTTATAAACCCTAAAACCACCGCAATGTAGCGTTCTTAGTTGTAACCGAAAATGTTATAAATTTGTATAACTTTTTAGATTGAATAGGATAACAGTTTAGGTTGAAAATCTTAAATTAACTTTATATTAGTTGCCGCACAACAGAACCACCGGAGCTTTTTCCCCTTAAGAAGTCATGTTTAGGGAGAACCTGCCTGGCTGCCCATCACAAGATAATTATGAATCTACCCTTTTTATGTATGTATATGCTATTAGTTAGATTTTGATAAAAATATATGAAAAATGGCATATAAGATGATAGAATTACGGCATTAAATTAAAATATACTTTATTTTATATTATTAATTATTAATTTTATTTTACAAAAAAATTAGATTAAATCAAATCGGATCAGAATTTTAAATAAATTTTTGAGTCTAATTTAATACGAAAGAAAAGTAGTTTAAAACTCTAGGACCGAATGTAATCTTTGATGGTGTCCAGTCTAGGGGTGTAAACGAGCCGAGTCGAGTTCGAGTATTGTTGAGTTCGACTCGACTCGAAAACTCTGAAATGGAGTTCGATTCGACTCGAAAACTCGTGAGCTTAAAATTTTCAAGCTTGACTCAAACTCGAAATCTTGAACTGAAGCTCTTGAGCAGCTCGAAATGAAAAAAAAAAATTCTTAATCTTAACTCAATTAAAGCCTCAAACTCGAACTCGAACATAAATCTTAAATACATGAAATCTTACTGTATTTTTTTAAAAAAAATCAATACATAAATATTAATATTATTATTAATTTATTTTTTAAATAAAATCTTAATATATTATATTTTCGAGCTGTTCACGAGCTTTTCGAGTCGAAAATCGAGTAGCTCGTTTCAGCTCGTTAAGAACTCGAGTCGAGTCCATTCGATCCGAGTATTTATCGAGTCTTGATCGAGTTGATCTCGAATAGCTCGCGATCTGTCTCGTCTCATTTACAGTCATAGTCCAGTCCATTTCGGATTAATGAAAAATTCATTTAACCCGTCCTTTACCATCCTTGTATAAAACGGACCTACCACCAAAATTCCTGTATGGAGGATTCAGAGACTCTGAACAACAAAACGAAAATCTTATATTGTATTTAAACAAAAAATAAAATATCAGTATTAATATTATTAATAAGAAAAATTTCACAACGTGATAAGCACAATTAAATTAATTTATAAAATATTAAACTATAAGGTAGTAAAAGTATAATTATAAATTAGTTAAAAATCTAAATTATATGTAATTTAAATAAAATATAATATTTATAAAACATTAGATTTTAGGGTAAACTATATCATTGATCACCTAACTATTTATCCCTTTTACTTTATCCACTGATTTTTTAATTTTGTCAATCGAGTCACCCAACTATTTAAATCTTGTCAATCAAGCCACTTGTTGTTAAATATTGACGGAAGAGATGATGTGGCAGTTAATAAAATTTGTATAATTACTCATTTAGTCCTCATTACTTACACATTCTATTAATTTGATAATAACTTTTAATTACTTCAATAAATTTAATCTTCAATCAGATGGCGACATGTGTCACTATGTGATTGAATGTTTTTTCTTAATATGTTTATTTAATTTAATAATTTTTATCCAATCAAATAGTGTCATGTGTCACCAATTGATTGAATAGAAAATAAATTAAATTAATAATTGTTGTTGATGGGGTTTGAACCCAAGTCATGAAGAAAAGAAACAAACACCCTAACTACTGTGCTACACCATTCAATTGACAAGCCTATCACGACATAATATATATAGTTAATGGCAATAAAAAAAGGGAAAATGACCTGATAAGAACTCCAACATGAAATAATTGAATAATATGATATATATATATACACAAATATTATAATTAATTAATATGTAAATGTATTTTATTTATATTTTAAATCATTTTAATGAAAAAATAAAAATAATTTTCATTTATTATAATTGAAATATAACGAAGAGCTTTGTTGACTTAGAATTTTTCTAATAGTTGAAGGTTTATAGTAGTAAGCATTTTAATTTATGCATTGAATTGTTTATATCCCGATTATAGTAAGAATTTTATATTTTATTATTTAATCATTATATATATTTGAAGAAAATTTTAGGGGAAACTTGATTTTATTGAATTAGTCTATTTTAATATAGAGTTATTAAATAAGATTAGAATCCGATAAACGTTATAATATTTTAAAATATATGATATGATATATTTCAGTTCAATAAAATTAGAATAATGAAGACAATTTATTAATTTAAAATATGTAAAACGATACATTTCAATTACAACATATTAAATTCTTTTATTTTAATTTTGCATTAAATGTGATTTAAAATATAAATTAAACATATGTATTTATTAATCAATTTACTATATATATATATATACATATATATTCAATTATTTCATGTTTGAGTCCTTATAAGGTCATTTATTACCATTAAATTATATAAATTATGTTCTAAATAATAGACAAATTTAGTGATCTAGCTTAGTAGTTAGGTTGGTTGATTTTTTGGCTAGTGTCCTAGGTTCAAACCCTACCAGCAGTGGTTATTGGTTTAATTTATTTTCCATCCATTCGATTGGTGACCCGATTGATAAAAATGAAAAATCGGTGGTTAAAGTAAAAGGATAAATAGTTAGGTGGTCATAGACATAGTTTACCCTAAAAACTAATGTTTTATAAATATTGTGTTTTAATTAAATTACATTTAGATTTTTAACTAATTTATAATTATACGTTTAATACTTTATAATTTAATATTTAATAAATTAATTTAATGGTGTACATCATAAACGATGCTTATCCGTGTTCGTTGAGTGTGACAACATCATCTTATTAATAATTTAGTTTAAAAATTAAAAAATAATATATTCTTTTTTAAATTGATTGTGAACTTTTCGAATTAATTATCAACTAACTCATTTAAGTTCATTAATAACTAAAGTCGAATTCTAACTAGAATCGATACTATATACTTTGAGTGTTAACGAATTTTGACCGTATTAAAATCAAATAATTCTAGTTCTAGATGTACGTCGTCTCGATTCTAAGGTCGTGTGTCTTGATTAATCCATATCATTTCACATCGTATACTTAGTTTTGATCGGTCAGTCTCTTAGTAAAAATTTTCTATATACGTAAGAATTTGAACTCGAGATCTTATTTAAGCGATATCAAATTATTTACTACTTGAATCAATCCTTTTGATTTTGTAGTTTAATTTATTGGCTTTATGTTTAGCGTGGTCTAGTTATTATATTTTCCTTTTTCAAGATTGAAAATATATGTCCACATAGTTTATCTTTGTTATTATTAAATTTGTATTTAAATTAGTATGAGTTAATTAAATATTAATTTAAGTGAAAAAAATATTATTTTATTTTATAAATTGGCAATTAGTATTATTATTAAAATACATTTATATGTATACATATTTTTTAAATAAAATAAATAAAATTTATTTATTAAGATTCAGATATAAAATTAATAAATATAGGGTTAGAATCCACTTACACAATGTAAAACTCTTTAGTTTTACATATATTTAAGACCGTTTGATGTGAGAAAATAGATGATTAAGATTGACTCCTTATTTTTTTCAATGAATATATTCTCATTTCATACTGTTAATTTTAACTATCTATTTATATATTATCTAACAGTATTAAATCTATGTAAATTTTTTTTTTTTTTTTGCATTGTATAATATGATCTTATCCTATATATATATACAAATCGTTTACTATGCAAATTATAATCATTTATGGAATAAAAATTTATAGATTTATATTTTTACGTTAAATATCTTTTTTCATCATATTTTAATAAATTTCGACGCGATCTTAATTAATTAAAATCAAAAAGTTTAATTAGTCAAAATTCTCAATTTAAAAAGGTCAAAGACTGGTCAAAGCTCCCCCGAATATTCCGCGAGGAATATATGTCTAAGAAGTCAAAATCCTCCATATGTCCCCGTAAATACGACTTTCCAAAAGGACAGTTTAGGCAAAACGAAAGATACACTCTTTTAACGACCGTTGGATCCCTCAATGATCAAGGATCGACGGATCGAATCAACTGTTTGACTGCAAGTACAAATTGGCTTTGATCCAGCTTTGACCAAAATAGCTTTAACGGAAGAATTTATTGAGGGAGAAGAGTTTTCTTTTTCATTTCATTTTCATATTTTATTTGATACAGAGAGAGAAAACGAAAGAGGAGTTGAGGATTTTTGTTTAATTTTATGTATTTTTTTAATCTCGTTTAGCTCCTGTATTTTGGTTATTATATTTAATTTTTGTTTGGATTGCAATTTTTTTCCATTATTTGTTGTTTCTGGTGATAAATTTGAAGGCGGAGAAGAAGAAGATGCAGACGTTATCTCTTCTCTTCTCCTATTTTTCGTGATTGGCGAATTCGTTGTTTACTTACGGGGTAATTAGGGTTTGGTTTTGTTGAAGTCTAAAATCATGAATGTTATGCGTCGTCTCAAGAGCATTGCTTCTGGTCGTTCTTCCATTTCTTCCGATCCTGTAAGTACTATTTTTCCCTTCGTGGATTTATTTTGAGTTTTATTTGCTGGATTCAATCGGTGGCAATCTCTGTTTGTTTGCTGGGAAATTGGATTAAAAGAAGGAAAGTGAAACGAAATGTTTTTTTTTTGTTGGAATATTTTTAAGCTTCGTTCATTAAAAAGAACCTCTTCCTTTTTATTTTCCTAATCTTTATATCGTATTTTAATCATTTCTGGCATACATATGTAGGTTTAGCTAGATTATTAATTGTTTTAAATGCAACATAAGAATTCTCCTTCCTTTTTTTCTTCTCCTATCGAGAATATCCTAATTTGAATTATATGTTTGTGTGAGGTTAATTTCCTGTTCTTGCTATTATATATGTATAAGCATTGGTCTTGAAATAGCTTGAGTTGGAAAGAGTCTGTTTTAAAGTTATTCTGAAAAAATGTTCATTTACGAATGATAAAAATTGGATAGTGTTGTTATTTATCCAAAAGTCAGCTTCCAAAATCCAAAAGCTCTATATTCTTGGCCTTTTGCTTTGGTTTCCAAACCATGATTTTAACAGCCAAAGTCAAAATTTTGTATATGTTTAGGACAGCAATAATGAAAAGGGGGCCTGATTGTCATAGGTTAAGTGTAGGTTTAGATTATATGTTCATCAATTACCATGATGGTGGTTAATGGTAAAATGTGCTTTAGTAGTGTGTTTTTGCATTGTTGTTATGTTGGTGAGATGGTAATGTGTCAAATCACTGTAATTGTTTTTTCCCTTGAGAATGGGTAATGTTGTAAACATACTTCTTTTCCTTGGAATGGAATGTTTAAAATGCTTCAGATTTATTGCATGCCTAAATTGTTTTGTTCTTGTGATGTTGAATGCAGTATGTAATAATTAACCGAATTCTAGAAAGTAAAGGAAATTGGATAATTACATTTGACCCTCTACACTGCTTCTTTTTCTTTCCTCCCCATTACACCCACTGGAGAGTAATTGATCAAATCCACAACTAAAATTGCTGCATACCACTTACTTAGAGTTTTGATCTTAAAGCTCAGATTGGTCCTCTTTTTTGTTTTTATCCTATCTGTTTATCTTCCCTGAACTCGATTTTAATGGATACTGGTGACATAACAAGATGATCCACATAATCTTATGCTAGTGTGATAGAGGCTGCTTGAATGAGGAGGCTGAACTGAATGTTGATTTGTAACTTAGGCTACTTGCCTGTGTCTGTTTGCTTCTTCATTACCCACTTATGCATGAAACACCTTTGTGCTGAAAGGAACACTATGAAATTACGCCGAGACTAATATCTAAAGGTAGCAATATTAAAGGCACTCTATTATTCTGCGGATGCTTGTTTACTTCTAGGCTTGTGTTTTCATGTATTGAGTTCTTTTGGAAAATTATATTTTTCTCATTAGGGTGGGGATACTAGCTCCAAAAGGGCAAAGGTTGATCAAGAATCAGGTAGGGGTCATGAAGAATCAAGTTTAGTTGAGAGGAGTACCACTGGTCTAGATCAGCATATGGCTTCCACGTCACGGGAAACAGTTGCAAGCACATCCAGGGTTACTTCTGTTGCTAGACAAGAAAAATCAGGTGTTGATAAGCTCCCTGATGAAATGTATGAAATGAGAATTAGAGATGAGAAATCTGCCAGCCATGATGACAAGGTGATTTTGGTTCTTTTCTCTTCAAAATGTATCTATTTATGCATGTTTATTTTTTCTCTTAAACCCTGTCTTCATTACACATACATGCACACACATATGTTTATATACAAGTTTGAAGCTCTTGGGTTATTTATCTAGCTTGCTTGGTTATTTCTAATATTACTGTTTCTGGAATGTAACTCACAGGATCTGGAGGCTACTGTTATAAGTGGAAACGGAACAGAAACAGGGCAGATAATTTCAACTACTGTTGGTGGTCGAAATGGGAAACCAAAACAGGTGACTTGATTTTTGGTTGACTTGTAGTTTCACATGATTAACTTGCCATCTAAATTTCAAACTATCCTTAGCAGTCTACATGTGAGCTCATGCTGCTCTATTTCTTCTTTAATTTGGTGTTTTCACTCTTTTTTCCTTCTTGGTAGAACGGGAAAAGGATTTCCCCCTTTCTGAGGCCATGTGTTATAGTTTCTATTTAAAAATGAGCCCAATTTCATGCATGGTATATGTTTATATTTGATTATAATGTATGGGTTGGGCTGTGAAGAATGTTTAACAATGCATTCTTTTCTTGGGTCTCAGACAATCTCATATATGGCAGAGCGTGTGGTTGGCACTGGTTCATTTGGTGTTGTCTTTCAGGTATGAAGTTGTTGTGGTGTAGCAATCTTCTGTTTTATCTTAATGTTTGCATTTATTCAAAACTTTTACCCTCCTCGAGTTTTAGCGACATTTTATGTTTTGATGTAGGCTAAGTGCTTGGAGACAGGTGAATCTGTTGCTATAAAGAAGGTTTTGCAGGACAAAAGATACAAGAATAGGGAGCTCCAGATTATACGTATACTTGACCATCCTAATGTCATCCAGCTGAAGCACTGTTTCTTTTCAACCACAGAAAAAGATGAGCTCTATCTTAACCTTGTTCTGGAGTATGTTCCAGAAACCGTTCATAGAGTTTCAAAACACTACAGCAGAATGAATCAGCGTATGCCCATTGTTTACGTGCAGCTGTATACATACCAGGTAACCTTGACCCTTTCTTGCTCTAGCTAATTGTAGTGGGTTGCAAAATTCTACTGATTTGAGTTTTTAACACTTTGAGTTTATATTTTTAGTGCATGCTGTGACAATCTATATTGCTTTCCTTTTTGTAGATTTTCCGTGCTCTAAATTATTTACATAATGTTGTTGGTGTATGTCATCGTGATATTAAACCGCAGAATATACTGGTAAGAGATCTTTGCATTTTTTTTAATAAGCTGGAGGTTGATGGTAAGAAATTTTTTGAATATCTTGTTTAAAGGATGTTACTCATCAACTTGACAATTTGTTATCACTTGAATGCACTATAATGTGTTTCTGTGGAGTGTTGATTGATCATATTGCTTTGCCCTCGACTTTTTTGAGTATGCTGATTTTATAATGTTATTTTTTTCTGCAAACTTTGGTTTGCTTTAACTTGTCTTTGCTTCTATTCTTCTTCTTCTTCTTCTGTTAATTGTTTGAATATTGAATGCCAAGGCATATTGGAGCTAACATCATGAGATATTTACAGGTAAATCCCCACAGTCACCAGGTGAAGATATGTGACTTCGGTAGTGCAAAGAAGCTGGTATGTTCAGCTTTTTACGAAGTTTTAAAGTCGTTCAATTTCTTGTTTGTAAAACTTATGAGATTTTCTCTACAATCTTTAGGTCCCAGGTGAACCCAACATATCATATATATGCTCACGATATTATAGGGCTCCGGAGCTTATATTTGGGGTGACGGAATATACAACTGCTATTGATATGTGGTCTGTTGGTTGTGTGGTGGCTGAGCTTCTGCTTGGACATGTGAGTTTATAGAAACATATATCCGATGCAGCTTTGATGTCAACGTATTATTTTTCCAATTATATTAACATTCACGATAGGTGTTTTTGTATTTAAAACATCGTTATTTTTGCTCTCGGCATCTATTTCTGCACCATGAAAGGATACAATCATCTTTTTAACCCTTGCTATTTGTTGATGAGCTTTAGAGTCTTTTGACATCCAGAAAATCTGTGTGAAAGCACATTTGCTGCTTTCGAGTTCTTATTTCTAACATCCATTTATAGTATGCATTATACAAGGTATGTGCTAATGCATATTCACTATTATACCATTTGCAGCCAATGTTTCCCGGCGAAAGCGGAGTTGACCAGCTAGTGGAAATTATTAAGGTATGCATACTTGGTTTTTCTTTTCTTGAGGTTTTTCGTTTTCTCTGTTTACTCATCTCTCAACTTCCTTTTTCTTTATCATATCAGATACTGGGAACACCGACGAGAGAAGAAATTAAATGCATGAATCCAAATTACACGGAGTTCAAATTCCCTCAGATCAAAGCTCATCCATGGCATAAGGTTTGCTGATTGGATCATCTCCTAATTTCCTTGTAAAGAAAAGTGGGAATCTTACGCCATTATGTGCCATGCATTTTTCAGTTATTTCATAAGCGAATGCCCCCTGAAGCAGTGGATCTTGTGTCTAGGCTGCTCCAGTACTCACCGAAACTACGTTGTACAGCTGTAAGAATCTTGCTTATTGTTGTTTTCAGTTCGGTTGCATATGCACTCGTGCTTGTTTACTTGAATCTTGATAGGGGATTTTAGTAACGATCGAGTCGTGACCGTGTTCTCTGTGTTGCATCTAACGAGTGCATAACTTCCTGGCTTTCAGTTGGAGGCGTTAGCGCACCCTTTCTTTGATGATTTGAGAGACCCGAATGTGAGCCTGCCTAATGGACGAACCCTACCTTCTCTATTCAATTTCACAACTCAAGGTAGAGCTACTTCAGTATTTTCGCATCCCCTTTTTCCCTCTTGAAATTGTCTTTGTCCAGAATTACTCGTGTCAATTCTTATTCAGAACTGGCTGGTGCGCCTGATAAACTACGGCAACTTCTTATCCCTGAACACGCAAGAATATAAGATCCGATGAGACGGCATCTGTAGGCATTGTAAATTGGTGTTGTGATCTGCCATTAGTGACGAGCTACACCCCGCCACCACAGGCTAGTTCGGATAGTCTTTTTTATTTGATTTTATAGTTACAAGCAAAGAGACCGGAAAGCGCCAGTCTGGGATTCAAGCAGTCGTTAAATGGATACGCCGGTGATGGTTTTTAGGTGGATGGAATATAGGATTGCTGGCCCATGGGGTCTTGGGATTTTTTTCTTCTTTTAAATAATATTTATATATATTATTTACAATATAATGTGTTATTTACTGTATTACCGTTATGAAAGTGATCCGTTTAACTTAATTTGTTTTATTTACAATATCAAGGTTTAAACTCTTGATCCTATTTAATGATATAACAATCATCCATCTTGTTAAATCAACTAATAATTAATATATCATTATCTTATGTTTAATATTAAAACAAAATAGTTTAAGTTTTAACTAGTTGAGCCTTCTTATATCGGTCCAGGAAACCTTTCATTTTAATTTTCATGTAAAACTGATCAAATTTTCAATTGAATAATACCTATAAATCAATTTTAATTTTAATTTTTAACTGTGTTTCATTATTATTAGTTTCATATTAGAGAAAAAAAATACCTAAGAAACGAAGTGAATGGGTAGTCAACAAACAATGTTTGAAACTAATCAAAGCATCAACATTGTTCTTTTGAAATGACAAAAGAATACCTATTAATTATCGTAAATATTCAGATTATATTCCTCTGTTATTCACATTTCCAATATGGTATCTTTCACCAAGGTTCTGGGCATTTTGTTTTCACGCTTCTAGTTTTTCTTCTTTTCTGTTTTTTCACTCATGGAGTAGAATCAGTCCAAGAGACCAAGAGCATGAAGAACGATAAGAAAAAGAAACAGAAGAAGGAGGTGCAAGTCTCCATCACCAAGAAGCATGAGGAGATGGTTCAGTTCATGCAAAAGTTGGTCCTCGGCTCAACTCCGTCCGGCAATCTAACCGTCGAGGAAAGGAACGGAATCGGACTCACGGAACGCTTAACCGACATATTCGTTGGGGAAAACGATGGAGATTTGCTGATTCAACAAAGCGGTCGGGAGGATAGGATTTTGCAATGGTTACAAGCTTTGGATGTGCAAGTAATTGGCGCCTGTCAGATCGATGAAAGGTTAAAGCCCTTGTTGAAAGTCAGTGTCTCAAACGGCAACGCCGAGGATCGATTGTTAGCTCATTTGAGTCAGCACTTTGAGCCATCGGAAGTTGGTATGCTGGCGAGGTGTTTTTGCATACCTTTGGTTTCAATTCGAGTGGGGAAGATCAACAAACAAGGGAATCATTTTCAGCCTACTGCTTTAAGGGGAAACTTGAGTCTTGCACTCTTGCCATCATCAGACTTGCGCCTTTCGTTTGTTGGGGATGATGGTCAAACAGAGAGATTGTTTACCTTAAGTGACAAACATCAGTGTGCTGCTATTTCCATCAATGAGATTCCAACAGACAGTTCTGGACGATCTTTCCTTGTGAAAGTGCCAGATGGCAAAGGTTTTTACTATTGGTGCTCGGAGAAGTCAAAGCTCTTGGGGTATGAATTGGTTTCAAAGATGAAGGATCTAATCAAGAGAAAACCATCTATAGCTGAATTATCTGGAATCAACGAGTTACGACTTAGTTGTTTTGTAACTCCGCTCCGTGCTTTTCTCCTAGGAACAACAGTTAAGGTACAAGCACATTCTGGTTTACCTTCACCCAGTACCGCGCGTGATGCCATTGATGAGCACTATGGGTAATCTTCATCCACTGCATCACCTGCTTTTTTTTCTTTTTTCTTTCAATTTGGTAAAGCAAAATGAATATATTACTTGGGGTGAATTTGTAATAAGTATGATAATATAGTCCTTTAGATAAAAAATATGTCAAGGAACCTTGTAAAAGAGAGTGAAGAAGAAAGAAATGAAGGTGAATAAGAAGAACGAAAGGAAGCATTAACACTTTCGATTCAAAGTGGACGGAAGGAAGCATCGGCACTTTCGATTCAAGAAGAACGAAAGGAAGCATCGGCACTTTTGATTCAAGTGAACGGAAAGAAGCGTCAGCACTTTCGATTCGATTGTTCATATTTTCAATTGTTCAACTTTTAAAATGTTTCGTGACAAGATCGGAGTGCAAGTCTGTTCACGATCAGAAGAGGAGAAGAAGTAGAGAGAATGTTAGCAATATACTTAGAAGCTTCCTGAAGATGAAGTTGTTATAATAGCTAAGGTTGTTAGCAAGTTAGTTTTGATTAGTTGTTCAGTTAAGGTGGTTGTATTAGCAGCTGATACAGCTAAGAGTAGTAGTATATAAGGAGCACCAATCTTGTACTCAAATACACGTTTTACATAATAGCAATATTCAGATTATATTCCTCTGTTATTCACATTTCCAATAGTAAATAATGATAAATATTGTATTATAAAATAATATGTAAAAGTTGAAGTAAAAAAATGAACTGGATAATTTAAATGCATCAAATTTTAATCGCATTTATAGATTTATATTCATCATATAATTTTAAATCAATGTAAAATTAAAAAAAAAAATTTATTTAAATTACTAAATATCAATCCTTATCTGTATTTTTAAAAATATTATACTGTTTATATATTTATTTATTTTACTATACTTTGAAACATAAAAAAATAATATAATTTTTTTATATTTACTTTATAATATTATATATTTAACTTTCAAATGATATACTCATCAGTCATCACATCGAATACATCATAAAATTGAGAAAAAGAAGAAGAAGAAGAAGATAAAATTAATCATTAGATTTCAAATCCGGTTTATATTTTAAAATGACCTGATTTTTTTTTGTTTAATTTTATTTTTAACAAATTTTTTTGTTGGACTTAGACCAAAACTATAGCACTAGAACAAATTTACTTTTTGAGTATGAATGACAATAATTTTGTAAATTTGGACCAATTTGATCCAAATTACTTTTATTAGGGATGGAGGTAGGGATTGTTAAAAAAATTGAATAATTTAGGATAATTATAATAAGTAATATCTATTTAGAATTTTCTTGACCTATTGAATATTGTTCAAATATTACTCCAAGTGGCAACCAAAACTTGGAAATAACCCAAGTATTTTACACCCTACCAGATTATTATTCAATAATAAAAGGGACAACATACCGCGTGTCATTCAATTGTTTATAAGATAATAAATGTTTCATTAAATTTTAAAAATTATAAATAGATTGTTCAATTAATCAATTGTTATAAACACGTGTTGGAAGCTGGTTGGAACCTGGCGGTATTTTGGTGTGGTGGGTTCATATGTATTCTTTTTGCTGTAAACGTGAAGAGGTTTTTAAACGATTTATTTTGTATGTATTTAATAAAATCATACAAAATTACCTTTTTCAAAAAATTTGTTATAAACACGTCACTTTGTCGTATATATCACTAATGTTAACTCTTTAGTCAAAATTGAATTGAATGACCTGATTGTAACAATCGATTAATTGAGTGATTTGATTGTTATAATCGATAAATAGAATGAATTGATTGCAATTAAAGAGTTGATATCCATTTCAGTTTTCAATTGCAAAGTGAATTGTTTGTAACAATTGATTAATTGAATGACACATTTATAATCTTACTAATAATTGAGTAACATGTAGTACATTTTATTATAATAAAAGATTTGAATTTTACAAAGTAGATCAACAAAACATTCTAAACATAGAACAAATCTAATATACTACTATTACCACAAACTCTAAATAGCAAACATAATTATCTCATTTTTATTCATCCAAAATTGAACCATGAAGAGGTCAAACAACACAAACCTTATTTCTCTCAAAATCAAAAGAATTTCACCCACATATATGGAAACCCAAAAACAAAGTAATCCTTCTGCAATATGAGTTAAAACAAAGCAAAACTTCTAATGTGTTGTTTAATAATTGAAACCCATTGTTGCATGGGGAAAAATAAGACATTTTCAAGATTTTTTTTTTATTTTCTTTTAGGGTTAAAGAGATGTCATTCTCAGGAACATTAGACAAATGCAAGGCTTGTGATAAGACTGTTTATGTGGTGGATTTGTTGACTCTTCAAGGAGTTCCTTACCATAAAACTTACTTCAAATGCACCCATTGCAAGTGAAACCTTGTGGTAATTCATTACTTTTCTCTTTTTTTGTCTTTGAAATTTCACTCCTTGTTCTTAACTTTTAGCTTCTTTTTAGTCATAACACCAAAAATACCTCAAATGTTTATTAAAATGATCATTTTAACATGTATTTTTTTTAGAACATTTGGCCCTTAAAGTTTCATTTGAGTAAAAAAAATCTCTAACATTTGACTGAATAATCACTTTGACCCTTATTTTTTTTGAGTGTTTTGTCCGCAAATGTTTCATTTTAGGGTATAAAAACATTTATTTTTTGTAATCACCATTTTTCTTACAACCAAACAGCCCAAACCAAACTACCCAAAACCAAAGCCCGTTTACAAAAACCGACCCGGACCCTAAACCTAAAACCCAACCCGATAGCCACCCAATTACAGTCGCCCGTCTTCCCCAACCAAAAACCACCATTCTCTGCTCCCAACCGAAGGTTGCTGCCCCATGCACGCCAAACCCCACTCCACGCAACCTACATCAGACAACAAGGAAGAAGAAACCAAATTTTAATGATGATAATTTTTTGTAAAATGGGTATATAAAAAAATCCATACAAATATGTAAAGCCTCTCTCTCACTCTCGGTTTTTTGGCCAAAAAAAAAACACTGTAACTTTTTTCGAAGCAATAATATCATAGTTCAAAGATTTTTTTTTTACTTTTTCAGTTTCGAATAGATTTTCTTGTTGTCTTTTTTACCGATTTCGGTTATGAATCTAGGTAAAAAAAAGGGAAGTTTTTTAGTTGTTGTAATAAAACCACAACCCCTTTATTATTTTTTTATATCGAAAGCATATATATTTCTAATATCAACCAACAAACCCAACTTTTTTACAGCAAAAAAAAGTACGAAAAATAAAAGGGTGGATAGGAGAGTAACCTTGGGTCGTCGAAGGAGTCACCCAAGCCGCGAAAGCCAAACTGTCTCGACCGTTTTTACTGCGATGGAGAATGATTCTTGCGAAACCAAGCCTATATCCGTGACGAGAAGCCCGAGACGAGCCTCCCTGTAAATTATAGTGGCCACCGGAGGTGACGAAGACGGCGCCAAGCTGGCGGCCGACGATGGCCCGACAACGGGCGAACGACCGGATTCCTAGAAAGAGGGGAGACTCTCTCTCTAGAAATTTTTTTAAACTGAAAAAAAGAATATATATATATATATATAAAAGAAAAAGTTTGCTTTTATAGAAAAATTTTGGAAGAAATTGATTTTTAGTCCCCTACTTTTGTCGTGTTTTTACAAAAAGGTCACTGAAAGGGACCGTTTTCATGATTTTACCATTTATGTCCATGCTTTATAATTTTTGGTATAATTTCTTTTTAATCCCCCTATTTTTAGCGTGTTTTTTTATATGGCCATGTGTAGTGACTTTAATTTTTTTTTAATTTTTGTAGACTAATTTTGTAATTTTTCCTTTTTATTTTAACAGTTTATTTTTTAGGCTTAAATAAAATGAATAATTATTTTTAGTTCCCTTTAGTTTACTTATGTTTTATATTTTAGTCCATAATTTCAGCACTTTACTTTTTTTGTATTTGCTGTTCTAGCCTTTTAATTTCTTATCTTTTAATTTTAATGTATATTTTTGTTTACTTATTTAATATAATTATGATCATATATATTTTTTAATTAATTTAGTCAAAGTTACTATTTGATTCCTATATTCAGATTTTGTATATTTAAGTTCTACATTTATTTTAGTTTCCTTTATTTATATGTAATTACCAAATAAGCTTACTTTTCATCCATTTTAGAATCATGTTAGCATTTGTATTTATTTCCTTTAATATTAGCCCATTAAAAAGTATTCTTCATATTTACATTTGCATTTACTTCATGGTAATAGGTAAGCATTAATTGCATGAATATATATGTTTATTGTACAAATATGTTTGTATTAATTGTATGGGATTAACAATTATTCTCCTATGTTTACGTGTATATGTATGTATATATTTAACTTTCTATTATTTTATTATCTTTAAATGTTGTGATATGTTTTTACTATATTTACATTATATTTTACATTTATTAAATATATCTTATATTACTTATATTATATTATGTACATATTTCATGTTTTTATTTATGAATATATCGAACACATTTTATTAGTTTATAATAATATCTTACATTGAGAGTATATGATAATATAATTACTTATTCTTAGCTTTACATTAATATTAATTTTAATTTAGTCCCTCAACTCCTTAATTATTCGATTCGTAATTAATTTTTAAATTTAGATGAATTCTTAATTTGGTTCTCGCTTTTGCTCGAGGTCCCGAATTAATTATTCAAATCGCACAAATAATTAAAATTGAATAGGTTAATATTTTAGAGCCTTCATTTTATGCTTAATTTCAAACTGAGTCCCTTAATTTAGGGAATAATTTGAGTTGGCCCTCACCTAAATGATCGAGGGACCATCTCGATTATTCGATTCGATAATTGATTAAAATCAAATAGGATTAATATTAGAGCCTACATTTTTAGGTTTGAGCTTCTAGGTTCCTTTTATTTCATAATTTGACACCTTAAGCTAGAAAAATCCTTTAATTTACCTTTGCTTAATTATGATTAAATAAAAATTTGTT